TTTTTTTTTTTGAAGAAGAAGAAGATTTTTAATCTCGTCACATTCAGCTAAGGTAAATTCAAATTCGTTTGTTTACCACTTGCTTGATTGCTGAAAGCTCGATGTTAAAATGCATTTTCTGTTCTTGAACAGTTTCAAATAGCCGTGCCTATAGCGTGCAAAGTTATCAGCCACATTTCACAATCCCAGTTTTAGGAGTTTAAACGGTTTTAAATTCACCCTCTTACATATTTACCACTCGTGACTCTGCTGCCTCTTAGTTAAGTTTCAGTCAGTGGAAACACTTATGCAGTTGTAGATTTCTAAAAGAATCTTTAAAACTTGCAGTTTTATTGTATAACAAAGCTACAGACATAATTGATGAAAACCTTCTGTAGTTTTGCCTTAGATATAGGAAAGCACCAAGCAGACTTTTAAAAACTTTTGTAATAATTGATTGAGTAAACTTCAGCCATTTAAAAACCGCCTGTGTTAAGATCAAAGTTTTACACTTCTTATTAGTAACATAAAGGTATACGATAAACGTATTGAAAGAAAATAGGTATGTATAAGTTTTTTTTGCTTTGTTAGCACTGTTCTGAGCGTTAAGTAACTTTTAAAACTATTCTACTGCAGATGTTCTCTTCTTGAAAAAGAGAAGGTTGTAATTTAAAACCGGATAATGTCATAACTTCGCAAAATTTTTTATTGTACTGAAATTTCAGAAATTATTAGAAAATACAGTAGTTTTCTTAGTTTTATTGTTTCTTTTCTCTGCTTATTTTTTTCCTACTTCTGCTCTTAGTTATCATCAGGAAACGAAGAGGGTAAATTTTATTTTCTCACTGGTTGAGCTAAGGAAAAAAGCACTGATACATAACTTTTTTTTACAAATATATAATAATAAGCAGATATCCACTCATAAATCTATTTCTCTTGATTGTCTTTTAATGTTTTTTTTGGGATACCTATCTTCTTATTAGCATTAACAAATTTTTATTTTTTCCACCAAACGAAATGCCACGTCTATTGTAATGTGCAGTTTTACA